CAGTACCCCGGAATAGACTTTCCCAGGAAGGCTGAGAAGTGTGATCCCTCTATAGTTGGAACACACCCGGCAGTCCCCTTTCTTAAATAAGGGGACCACCACCCCGGTCTGCCAATCCAGCGGCACTGTCCATGACCTCCACGCACTGTTGAGAAGGCATGTCAGCCACGACAGCCCCACAGCATCCAGATCCTTTAGGTACTCCGGGCGGATCTCGTCCACCCCCGGGGCCTGGGCACCATGTAGCTCTTTAACCACCCTGGCCACCTCAGCTCCAGTGATGGGCAAGCCCCCCCAGCACCCTCGGGCTCTGTGCCCTCAGATGTCTCAAAGGCAGTGTGTGTAGATGTATCTGAGGCAAGGTTGGAGGTCCTCAAAGTATTCCTTCCACCTCCGGGTGATGTTCCCTGGTGAGGTCAACAGTACCCCCTCCCCACTATAAATAGTAGGAACTAGGTGCTGCTTCCCCCTCCTGATATTCTGGATGGTTTGCCAGAACCTTTTTGAGGCCGACCGAAAGTGACTTTCCATGGCCTCACCAAACTCCTCCCACGCCCGGGTTTTTGCTTCTGTGACCACCTGAGCCGCGTTCTGCCTGGCCTGCCAGTACCTGTCAGCTGCCTCCGGAGAACCCCAGGCTAATAATTCCTGGTAAGCCTCCTTCTTCAGCTTCACGGCCCCCCTCACCTCTGGTGTCCACCATCGGGTACGGGGGTTACCACCACGACTGACACCGACCACCCTGCAGCCACAGCTCCGTATGGCCGCTTCCACAATGGAGGTCCGGAACAGTGTCCATTCAGACTCAATGTCCCCAACCTCCCCCGGTATGCAGTTGGAATTCTGCCGGAGGTGCGAGTTAAAGCTCAGACAAACAGGAGCCTCTGCCAGACGTTCCCAGCAGTCCCGCGTGCCTCTTTCTGGCTATGCCCGGCCGGGCCTCATGGGCCAAGGCATAGCCTGGGTCCAGGGTGGGGCCCCGGTGACCCTAATCTGGGCGAGGCAAACGAGACCTTTCTAGAATACATTATCATACGGTTTCCTAATGTTAAACACACAAAAAACAGAAGTACTGGTGATTGGTCCCAAGGTTGCAAGAAATACGTTGCACCACCTCAGCATTAGTGGCCTTCCTACACAACCTAACACGGTGGTTAGAAATCTTGGTCTTCTAGTTGATTCAGATCTATGTTTTGGTGCTCACATAAGAAGTATTACTAGAACTGCGTTTTATCATCTACGGAACATAGCCAAGATTCGTAAGATGCTCTCACTTCGTGATGCAGAAAAATTAATACATGCCTTTGTAACTTCCAGACTGGATTACTGTAATGCCCTCCATTCTGGTTGCCCGTCTGGATCCTTACATAAACTTCAGCTGGTACAGAATGCAGCAGCCAGAGTTCTCACAAACACTAAAAAAATTTATCACATTACACCAGTCTTATCCTCCCTTCATTGGTTACCAGTTAAGTCTCGGATTGACTATAAAATACTGCTATTAACTTATAAAGCACTGAATGGCCTTGCAC